TCGTGGGTCTTCTGGCTTGGACTCCAAGTCCTCTGGGTGTCTTCTGGTCCAAGAAAAATCATTGTAAAATTTTATTTTGTTTGGACTCCTTTTGGTATTCCTTTTCTGCGAAACTCAAAAACAAAAAAAAAACAAAAACTGACACTGGACTCTCGATTAATAGGTTAATCCTAAAAATAATATAAAATAGTATAATAATGCTTATAAAACATTTAAAACAAATAATATAATGTCATGAAACAATAAAATTTTTACAGATACGTTGGATGAGGGAAGAACGGTGGACGAAGGCAACAGCTCCGACGCTGGAAATGATGTACGGACACAAGAGGTGGGTGGTGACTTGGTCATTTTGCTGTAATTCGCGGTGGGCCTGGCCCGTCTGGTCCGACGTGGCCATTGTTTGTATAACTGGATCTTAACGAATAATTACATTGAGTATGGATGGATGAGGCATGATACGTGGTGTAGCACACTTGGAAGACTTCTCCTATTCATGCGGAGTGATGTCATTTCTGTATCCTCTAGAAGTAGCTAGCTAACCTAAAGGAAAAAGGTAGCTACCTATGAGTAATAATTTCTTCAAATGGAAGAAAAACAAAGCACCAGCCATACATGGACCAAATTAATACCAGGTGGACCTTTTCATGTAGAGTTCTACTAGCTAGGTTGTTGCTACGAACCTCATGGATATGTGGAACCTTACATTAATTTTTTGGCTCAATCGTATCAACAGATTACATAATAATGAGGATCAACATGGTTGGTGTACCAAAAGCAAGCAGGTTCGGCACCCAGACAACAAGATTCTAGGTGGACAGGACAGCAATTTCCAGCAGGATCTCCTTTACAATCTTTGGTCCGAAGCTGCAACCAGTCCAAATGTTTTGGGAGTGAGAATGTCCTCCCTACCTGCTTCTGTCTTTAATTGTGTTTAAGCTTATTTTTACACCTAGTGACCGGCCGGGGCGTGCCATCAACTCCAGCTAATACTTTGATTATTTAAGAAGAAAACCCAAACTACACGAGGCTTCCTAATCAGTGACACGACTAAATATGGGAGCACTATGCATGCATGCCATGAGTTTCCATTCACACTTTGATTGATTAAGAAAACTCCCAATGGAGTAATAAGCTATGCGGAGCAATCCGATCAACAAACTAGGCTTCCAAAACAACAGCACTGCTAATAATTGATGAACTTAGAAGACTATAAGACAAATCAAATGGAGGAATAGACCAGGCAACGAACAAATGAAGGAGCTGGCGGACACCAAGCTCGGCCAGCATAAGTCCAACCACGGCCACATCACGGTGACCCTAGCTACAGTGGTCATTCCCACGCGACCAATCAGGCAACAGACGGTCGTATTAATATGGTCGACAGCGAATGACTTGACCACATCTTTACACGTTTGTCGGTCCAAATCATTCAACGACACTTGAACTAATCAAAACTCTTCAACACATGGTATTTTTTTTCTCTCTAGCGTGTGCTGATTTCTCTTGAGACAGCGGCCACGCACCCATACAGTATAGCTTGTGCCACGATATACTACTACTTTATTTTTGGTCTCACATTTGGAGATATATCATGATCCTTCCGTGACCGTGTCAAGGGAAGATCCCATCCAAGCCCGACAAAAGGCCTCACTCTTTGACAATTCAAGGATGGTGAGATTTGATTGGGCCATGCATCATCAACAAGTGGAAATTAATTGACTGAAGGAACTAATTTACGCCTTGCATTTTCCTTGCTTAATTTTCTTGTCGTTGCGAGGATCCTTGTTGTTTTGTTTGAACACCCTTGTTTAATTTCTTCAAGGTAGAACTTGTCCGATTTGACTGGTCCGCTGTGCTTCGATCAAATCAACTCAAATTTATAATGTGCAACGGGAGATTGCATCTTAATGGAATACCATTACCTTGTCTAGTGGTTGAACAAGCTTTTGACAACATTAGGGCATTAGGCTGCCAAAACTTGGAAAGGATCAAGTACAAGCAATGTGTCCCTCACACGGAAGGTCTTTAATTGATTGATTTTACTTGTGCTCAATTATATATGTTTTTTCTACGTGGTCATACATACATGTATGGATTATTATTATTTTTTCTTAACTTCGGTGACTTTATCAAATAATAATCTTGCCCAATACAAGGATAGGAATCAAGAATGAAGATGGTCGATCTTTCCATACCGCTCCTATGCTCTCTCTAAAGCTAAACCTAGTAATCACGTAAGCAACAACATTAGCCTGTCGAACAAAGTCACAGCCCTGCCAAAACTAATCATCAAAGTTCGTACAATTAATATGGTGTTTAATAAAAGGACACCAGAAAAATGATTCAGTGTCGTGTCCATGCGAATGGCAAAGGTGTATGGTTGGAAGACCTGTAGTGTCTTAGCAAAATGTTATGCCGAGTTGCCAACGAGCAGGATTAACCTATTAGTACCAACCCAATTGATGTTGAAAAGTGGTTGCGTATGCTCAAAATAGGTTCCGCAGTGTTATGTACTCCCTCCGTTCCTAAATAATTGTCTTTTTAGAGATTTCAACAAGTGACTACATACGGAGCAAAATGAGTGAACCTACACTTTAAAACATGTCTACATACATCCATATGTTGTAGTCCATTTGAGATGGCTAGAAAGACAATTATTTAGGAACGGAGAGAGTAAGATGGAGTTTAAAGAGTTACCGAGAAGTCCATGAATCCTCGGATTTGGCTGTGTTTGCTTAATGTTTTGGAATCTCTAAATACGCTATGCTCGCTAAGTTTTAAGGTCTCGCAATCAATTGAGATCTCCAATTTAGAACTGGGTCAACAATTTTTCAAGGAGATGTCTCATTCAATTATTTTAATTCACTATGCTCCTTAATTTTGCAGCTTTTCCATTCTATTGATGTATTCAATTTTGAATTTGGTTTACGATTTTGACAGAGTCAAGAAATTCTCAAAGACTTCCCTCCTTCAATTTTCTAAACTCACTATGCTCCTTAATTTTGGAGCTTTTCCATTCCATTGAGGTATTCAATTTTGGATACGATTTTGACCAAGTCCATGATTTTTTAAGTCAATTGGCAGCAAATGGTCGATAAAAATATATCAATTCAGCGCACCCTCTCACCACTTAGACAACACACAGGCGCGGAAAATTTTCCCACATAAGTATGGATTGATTAGCATATAACACAGAATCACACCAAAAAAGACCCACCAAAACATTGTATTATAAAAAAAGAAAACACGCTCCATCATCTTCCCCACTCGACAAACCAAATGCTCCCTCAGTTCCAAAATATAAAAGGTGCATTTGATGTTTGAAAGGCAAATCTCTTCAACTCTGACCAAAGTCGGAGCGAAAATTATCGACACTCACAATACTAGATAAATAAAACATAAAATTCATTTCACGATGAATCTAATGACACCGATTCGATATTATGAACATTTATACATTTCTCTACAATTTTGGCCAAGCCTAAAGAGGTTTGGTTTTTCGAAAAACTAACACACGTTATATTTTGAAACAGATGGAGTAATAATAAATAAATAAATAAATAAATAAATAAATGAAAATCCAACAACATCGACAGCGCAGCAAAGCGCGTCCAATCCTCCTGACAACGATGCCGAAAGTGCCTGGAGCTATGAAGTTTGTCCCGAAATCATTTCGTCTCGATTGTGGAATTGATTCTGTCCAATGGCCTGAATTTGTTTTGCGTCTAGTTGGAAGCTCAAGCAAGGAAATTGCGGGATTTTCGTTGAAATTTTTGCGTGCCAACAGCAAGTATGAGATGCAAAAAGCATGGCACCGAAGGAAGAAGTGTTGTGCGGCATGAGCAGCGAGGCAGGCAGAAGCGAACAAGCGAGCGTCACATGCCGACAGGGCCGCGCGGAGGACTGATGAACGCGTCGCACCGCGCCACCGTCCCCGGCCGCCTCGCCCGCTCCCGCTTGAACCAACCAACCAACCAACGAGCGAGAGCGAATCGCCCGCCCCGACAAAACAATCTCCCGATCCCATCCGACCCGATCCCAACCCCAACCCCGCCCACCGGCTGCCGTTACCCCTTTATTTTATTTTTCCTCACAAAAAACGGCTGCCGTTACCCGCCCGGCCGTTGCATTATTATCAGCACTCCTATAGTTGGTGCCATGCGATGAGAGTATCTTGATTTCCATGCTTTCCCGATGAAATAACAGGCAGTGCGTGATGGAGTGATGGATACTCCTCCCCTCTACTCCCACCACCACCACCACCACCACTAATGATGTGATGATTAGCTAGGCCCGCCGCTAATCCCGTGGGCAAAAATAGCCGGATCAGCTGGCGAGGCAGGCAGTGGACTAGTGTTAGTAGAGCACCTTTTTGTGCTGGGAACTCAACTCAACTGATCCGATCCGAAAAGCAATAGTAGTTTATTCATATTCATTCATTAAGCCGCTCATCACAAAGTATAGGGTAGTACCACTCGCCTAATCCGCTCCCCTTTAGCCCTCCGCCCCTACCCTATTTAGCCCGCGTGTCAGCTGCAGTCTGGAGGAATCTGCCCTGCTGCCCTGCTGCACCTGAGGGAGACTGGAGAGGAGGCAGCCGAGCGCGCACAGACGGACCGCTTCGTCCTCGGCTTGGAGGGATCTGCTGCCGCGCCTGCGCCGCTTTCAGAGGTGAGCGACTGGTCGACGGACGGACGGATGGATGGATGAATCGCGGCGCTGTCGGTCGGGGCTCGCTTTCCTTCCTTTTCCTCTGCGGCAGCGCCCGTCTCTCTCTGACCCCAAAATTCCCTCTTTCTTTCTCGTGTGCCTTTCGCCCAGCCTTTCTCAGCGAGCTGCCTCTGCTCTGATGGTGGCGGTGCTGGCGGCGGCGGGAAAGCTTCTGGCGGTGGGGGTTAAAGGCGGGGGGGCTGCCTGATTCTGCTGGGATTGTTCGCTTTGCGCTGCTGCTGTGCCGGGCGGTGCGGTGAGAGGAGGAGGAGGAGGAGGAGGAGGGGATGATTACGTTCGTGGACTCGGCGGCGGGGGAGCGGGAGAGGGGGGACGGCCCGCGCTGCCTCGACCCGCAGCTCTGGCACGCCTGCGCCGGCGGCATGGTGCAGATGCCGCCGCCCGGCTCCAGGGTCTACTACTTCCCGCAGGGCCACGCGGAGCATGCGCAGGGCCAGGCCGGCGCCGTCGACTTCCCGCCCGGTGCCCGGCTGCAGGCGCTCGTCCTCTGCCGCGTCGCCGCCGTCCGCTTCATGGCCGATCCGGACACCGACGAGGTCTTCGCCAAGATCCGCCTCGTCCCCGCCCGGTCCCAGGACGCCGCCGACGCCGACGACGCCATTGCCGCCGCCGCCGCGGCCCAGGAGGACAAGCCCGCCTCCTTCGCCAAGACGCTCACGCAGTCCGACGCCAACAACGGCGGCGGCTTCTCCGTGCCGCGCTACTGCGCCGAGACCATCTTCCCGCGGCTCGACTACTCCGCCGACCCGCCCGTCCAGACCGTGCTCGCCAAGGACGTGCACGGCGTCGTCTGGAAGTTCCGCCACATCTACCGCGGCACGCCGCGCCGCCACCTGCTCACCACGGGGTGGAGCTCCTTCGTCAACCAGAAGAAGCTCGTCGCCGGGGACTCCATCGTCTTCATGAGGACCGAGAACGGGGATCTCTGCGTCGGCATCCGCCGCGCCAAGAAGGGGCGCATCGGCGGCCCGGAGCTGCTGCCCCCGCCCTCGCCGGCGGCGGGCGGCAATTACGGAGGGTTCTCCATGTTCCTCAGGGGGGAGGAGGACGGCGGCGGCAACAAGATGATGGGGGCGAGGGGGAAGGCCAGGGTCAGGGTGCGGCCGGAGGAGGTCGCCGAGGCGGCCAATCTCGCCGCCAGCGGGCAGCCGTTCGACGTGCTCTACTACCCGAGGGCGAGCACGCCGGAGTTCTGCGTGAGGGCGGCCGCGGTCAGGGCGGCGATGCGCACCCAGTGGTGCCCCGGCATGAGGTTCAAGATGGCCTTCGAGACGGAGGACTCGTCCAGGATCAGCTGGTTCATGGGGACTGTGTCGGCCGTGCAGGTGGCCGACCCCATTCGATGGCCCAATTCACCTTGGAGACTTCTTCAGGTACCACATCTCCACTCCTCCATCACTCATCTCATCTCTAGTTGTATTAAATTGTGTACAAATCCACCCTCTCAAGGACAGCACCACAAGATTGCATTCCATCTATTGACTGGGATTGACTGGGAGTAATTGAATTGATTGCATTTGACTGTCAAAATGCTGAAGAATTCTTTCTTGTCTTTGGTACTATGGCCTTGTGCTGCAGGTGACCTGGGATGAACCGGACCTGCTGCAGAATGTGAAGAGGGTGAGCCCATGGCTGGTTGAGCTGGTCTCAAACATGCCGGCCATTCACCTCGCTCCGTTCTCGCCGCCCCGGAAGAAGCTCTGCGTTCCGTTCTACCCCGACCTCCCGGCCGACGGCCAGTTTCCAGCCCCGATGTTCCACGGAAACCCACTCGGACGCCGCGGCGGCGTCGGTCCGATGTGCTATTTCCCGGACGGCACTCCTGCAGGCATACAGGGAGCCAGGCATGCTCAATTTGGTATACCTTTATCAGATCTCCACCTTAACAAACTGCAGTCGAGTCTGTCACCGCACGGGCTTCACCAGGTCGATCACGGCGGGCAGCCGCCGAGGATCGCCGCTGGGCTCATCATTGGTCACCCGGCTGCGCGAGACGACATCTCGTGCATGCTCACCATTGGCAGTCACCAGAACAACAACAACAACAAGTCAGATGTCAAGAAGGCTTCACCCCAGCTGATGCTCTTTGGGAAACCCATACTCACTGAGCAGCAGATCACTTTAGGTAACTCTGGGGGTTTCTCTCCATCTGCTGCTAGGAAGAGCTCCTCTGAAATGAGCGCCGAGAAGTCGGCGAATAACTCTGATCTTCCAAGCCCGCAAAGCAACCAGAACGGCACTACGAAGAACTTGTCCTGCGGAGGAGTTCCATTGTGCCAGGACAACAAGGTACTCGATCTCGGGCTGGATATCGGGCACTGCAAGATATTCATGCAATCAGAGGACGTCGGGCGCACGCTTGATCTCACCGCTGTTGGTTCTTATGAAGAGTTATATCGCCGGCTTTCTGACATGTTCGGCATGGAAAAAGCCGAGCTGATGAGCCATGTTTTCTACCGTGATGCAGCCGGGGCGCTCAAACACACTGGAGATGAACCTTTCAGGTTTGTATGATTTCAGATTAAAATGTACTATGTTTCTGTTCAGGCATTAGGTTACTCGTTTCATTTCGTCTTTTTAAAATGCTTGGTAGTCATTTTAGAATCAGTTAGGTATTTGGTCACATCCACTCTTCAAAAGTAAGTGGCAGTTTCCTAATATTCCATTAGCATTGTTGGTTAGAAACCTCCAGTTTGCGTGTTTATTCCACCTAACATCGCACATCTGTTGACCTCAACATCACCAATTTAAACCCTGCATCTATTGCAAGACCTCGGAAATGGCCACATTTGTATCGGTAGTAGCGGATTTTCTTCTAGTACATCCAAATCGACGTATCTTCACACACCGAAACTCTAGGTGTTGTTGCCTTGGAAGCATCCTGCTCCTTATGGTACTTTGACTTTACGAGTTCCCACCGATGATCACTAATGTTTCCTTACTGTTGAAGGAAACATCATCATCTGCTGCAAAAAAAAAAAAAAATCTCTCTTTCTCCATTTCTTGTTCAGACTAGATACTAACCAATTTATGAGTTCTCTCCGATGACCACTAATGTTTCCTTACTGTTGAAAGAAACATCATCTTCTGCTGCAAAAGCATTTTTTATGTCTTTCTCCATTTCTTATTCGGACGAGATACTGACCTATTTAGCAAACTTTGCTGTGAATTTTGCAGCGACTTCACGAAGACGGCGCGTAGGCTGACGATACTTACGGACACGAGCGGCGACAGCAGCGTAGCGAGCTAAGGGGGGATGAGGAAGGAAGGAAGCTCTCTCGCCACTTGTACGTACAGCCGGGTCGATGGCGGCGCGGCGCAGCACGGTGGCGGTTCTCAGAGAGCGTAGATAGCGTGTACGGGGCGGCAAATTCCGCGGCCTGGATGGATGCAAGTCAAGAAGCACCGCCGGTGCAGGCAGCTTCAGTTTTTCTCCGGTTATTAGAGAGCTCCCAGAATGGGACTGGTGATTGTTTGTGTGGTGATCCGTGAACAATTTTCTTCTTCTTTTTTTTCCGTTGTGTTGGCTAGTACCACCCATTGTGATGATGTTAGCAGTAACTCTGGCCCGGAATCCATGGCGGCTCCTTGCTGCAATTCCTGGGAAGAATGGGTCTCTGAATCTTCTTTTGTTCTGTGAAAACATGCGTGTGGTCCGTCGGTGTCGGACCCAAGCACAAAGCAGAAGAGAGACATATATGCTGTTGTTCCATATGGTGCGCTGGATCCACGGCGAGGTGGTGGTGACTGGTGGCGGTGGGAGACGTGGACATGGCTGGGATGGGTGCCGGCCAGCTCTCCGGTTCCTTCCACGGCGTGATGTGAACGGGTGTGGAGCGAGCGCGTGGTGTCCGCGTCCGTGTCTGTCCGTGTGGTGGCGATCTGGACTGGAGGGATGGCAAAGCGGGGCAAGCCAACAAAGGCGCCTGTGGTGGATGGAGCGCGACGTTTGCTGCCGCTGCTGTGCTGCTGCCATCCTCGGCCGCTTTCCGTTGCGACGGCGCTTTCCTGACGGGACATGTGTGTAGGCCAAGGCTCGGGGAGTCGCTGACCGGCGTTGTCATATCTTGTTCTTTGGCTGCTGTGGAATGTCGGTTTTTACCTTGAAACCAGCTAGGGTGTGAGGTGTGAACCGCCTCTCTTTTCATCCCTCTCGTGTCGCCGCCTCGGCCGTCCCTCTCTTCTTTGCTATTTTGTCGTCTGGCACATAACCTGCAACTCTTTTCTACCCTTGCCGCGTCGATCAGACATCCATCCAAGGACGAGGGATACCGGTACTACCTGTCTGACCGTCGATGAGCACTTTTAAATTACCGTCATCCATCCAGACACTCCCTTCCTCCCGCTGCTTCCCAACCACTTGACGCATCCTCGCCCCCTACCCCGTATATGGCCATGAAGCTAAAAATATGAGTGAACGCATAGCTTTTTTTTTCGTTTGTACATAATGGCATTTCATGTCTGTACGCGCTGGCCGGGCGCGCGCCTACCGCTTAGTACGTGTACCATCTCCGGCCGGTTGCTTGCTGCCTCGACCCGGTAGCTAGCTGCTTGCTCGCTCGGACATATCCTGGCTACGGAGTACGGGCGGGCGGGTGCGTGCGTGTGAGCGCTCCCGTGTCTTCTTTGGCTAGTGCCGGCTTGGCACGTCGGGTGTACGGCGAGTCGCATTTCTTATCGAAAAGGTAGCGCTATCAAGAAGAGGCTAAATTTCGTGTTTGGACCCTTTTCTGAAATTTATTCGAGATTTGACCTCAGTTTAAAAAAAATTCAAGATCTAGCCTTTTTGCTACCGCCAGGGACCTTGACGGTAGGGTTGCATGCTCTACCATCAAAAACCTCCTAAATATTAAACATAGTGCGTTCTCGTGCCTACCAGCCAGCCAGGTTGTGCAGGCTACCGCCAGCCAGGTTGGCGTTAGCGATGTTTCCTACCGCCAAAGTCTCTGGCGGTAGCCTGTTAGACCCTACCGCAATGAACTCTGTCGGTAGCAAAAGGGTCAGATCTCGAATTTTTTTCAAATTAAGGTCAAATCTCGAATAGGTTTAGAAAAAGTTAAAACACGAAATTTTGCCCCAAGGAGAGGTACGTACCGGTACCGGTACCGGGTGTGCGCCACAGTAAGGGACAGCAGGTTTTTCTGACGTCCCGGCCGGCTGCAGCACTGTTGGAACGCCCAGTTCGGATCACATGGTCGCCGGCGCCGTGCTCCTCTTCGTACATGCAAAGTGCGCCATTCCCGGGCTACGTACGCAGATAGTACGCCGCCTACTGTATATCCGTAGCGAGTATCCTCCACGGACCGGATGGGGTGGCTCGCCTCGCCGGTGCTGCGCGCACTGTTCACGGGTCAAGCTCAGGCCGATCGCCAGCGCGCGGCGACCAAAGAAAGGTGCGCGGCGCGGCGGCCGTCGCTGTCGCGTGGGGGTGGGGCTGCCGGCGGTGTGCCGAGTAGATGTCGTGTCGGGAGCAAAGCTTTTGGCTCGTCGCTTTCGTCGCGGGTGTGCGCACAGTGATCTCGCTCGGCTGGTCACATAGCTAGCTAGCTGCTCTCCTCCGTGCAAAAGACAGGACAAGGTTAAAGAGGGGTGGCGCTGTCACGCTCCAATTTATGCTGCTGCCTCGTGTGTACCGGAGCGTATAATTGACTCGCCATGCATGCTAGTTTTTCTTTTCTTTTTTAAGGCGGCTCGTGTAGTTGGTCCCGGTATTCTTTGCTCGAAAGGAAATTAAGTTTGATCATTCTCTGAACCTCACCCCTAATAAGAACTTCGGCTCACCTTCTATGTAACTCTGTAAGTCTTTCCTTTCTATAATGCATTGGCAGAACTCCTGCCTTCTCCCGTCAAAAAATAAAATAAAGCATGGGGCAGCAACTTCGATGAGTTGGAAAAACGTCATTGCAACTTTCATGAGTTGGCATATGTAGAGGCATGGGAAAGTTACAGTGGCATATTTCAACCTTTGGTTTTTGTAATGGCATTTTTCCAACTCGTGAAAGTTGCGGTGGCATGAATCCAATTAACCCCTAGTCAATATGGTTTTGCTATTTCTCTGGTGCCTGGAATTTTATGTTCCATCGGTCACTTTTACTTTTTCCTTCTTCCCAACCTCACCGGAGAAGAACTACCCCACTATCTATCTTAGGGGTCGGGGTGCAGGGAATCACTTGAGGTTTTCATTGGTGGTGCAGAGCTTAGAGAGATGGCCGGGGTGGTGGCTAGCAACGGCGTTGGGGGGGTGGTTGAGGGGAGGGCGGTGTGCCGAAGCAGTGCGCAGTAGCACCTGTCTGCCGCAGATGGGGCGGGGAAGGCTGCGGAGAGGAGGAACTACCTGCCGGGGGAGGAAGATGAACAGTCTGCGACATGGCTAAGGCCGTTTGATTTTGATCTAATGGGCAGGAAAGAAAGTGACTGGTGAAAAGATTGTTTTTCATGCACCTGTTAAATAGAGGGTCCCTAATTAATATTTAATAATATAACCAGCTGCTAGTTAAAAGATCTTCCCATGTCACCTACAACAAATCTAATAGTCAATATTATAATAGTTAACTATATGTACTACTTTATTAACATATGACCCATCTCACATTTTCACAATATTTTTTTGGAGCGAGTGCTAAGGCTTAATCTACAACTCGCTTTTCTTCTCTCTTCTTTTGCCTTTTTTTCAAATCAATAAAAATATACTCCCTTCGTACCAAAATTCTTGTCTTAGATTTGTCTGGATACAGATGTATCTACACATGTTTTAGTGTCAGCTAGTATATCTGTATCGAGACAAATTTAAAACAAGAATTTTAAGACGGAGGAAATGGTATTTAGATTCTTATAGTCCGCTCTTTATTTTATAATTGATTGTGTTAAGGCCATCATTATCCACAACGGTATGGAGCACATGTGTTTATTCCCTTGCGCAAGTTTTGGAACACGCTAGCAGTGATGAATCTTGGAAGAAAATGAAGAGGGTCTCAAAGTTAACGGTGTGAAGAAAAAGCTACTAACTCTCAGCTTTTAGTTCAAATAAGGTTAAATTTTTTATACCAAGCCGGGCTGAATACTTGTATTTTTTTTTCCATTTTTAGAGGGGGGGCTCAAGCCTATTGAAGCATCCCGCCACTGCACCCTAGCAACCTTGAGCTAAGCCCATCCTCGTACGAAAAGAAACAAGAATGATAGTATAAATATAGCGGTTTCATACGTGTTTAGGTGTATAAGCAAGAAAATGAATGCATTGACAAGGTTTGCCCGGCTCCGGCGAGGGAGGGATGATGATGGTTGCGCGTCTTTGACTTGGTTCAGTTCTTGTAGTCGTCGCTAAATGGTCTACGAATCTGGGTGTAATTTTTATTATTTCTGGTGTTCGTTGTACTATCATGATTGGAGATGAATAGATTAAAAGTTTTCACACACAAAAAAGAGAGGATGCATTGAAATAAGTCGACGGAACAACACAAGATTTATAAAGGATTAGCCTGCCGCCAGCAGATCGGCTCAAAGCGATCGACCTTCAATGAACCTCGGGTCATTGTGTCTTTGTGTGCGCTTGTCGTGTAGGAAAAAGAAGGGAGAATCAAACTCACACCCAAAAGGCCAAAAGGCCGTGCGCATGCATGAGGTGCCCGCTTTTTGGGCATGCTCGAAATCACGTAGAGTAGGACGAAAGAGAGAAAGACGCTTTGCACTTTGGCCAAGAAAACGCAAGATCGAGGCGGAGAAGGAAGGATTGCCCACGTGAGGTCGGGAAGGGGGACACGCCGCACGTGTACGTGCTCTTGGCACTTGTCACGGTCCGGCGCCGGCGGAGACGGGACTTTTGGACCGGACTCACCCCCGATCGCTGCCGCGACTCGTATTGATCACGTCCGTCCGGTCAAGTTGGTCCCGTCACGACCCATCCATCCATCCCTAATAACCAGTGGAGAATATTTTCTGTTGTTGTACTTCGGTGCGTGTTGATCGGCTAAGTACGTGGTACGGAGGAAGCGGTAGCAGTTGACATCGGCATCGGCATCGCCGCACCGCGGCACGGGGCAGACGAGACAGCGGAGGCATGCTTTGCGTGCGTGCGTGCGCGCCGTAGTTGTAACGGGTGGCGTGGAACGAGCTCCAAGCAAAGCAGGCGTGCGAACTTAAACAACAACGTATGGGGTACTTGTACTGCTACCCACCACCGGAGGAGAGCTAAGAATGAGTGGACAGGTTCATGAATTCGTGGCATCGTGTCCATAGACGCAGCTCTGTCACTGT